CAATAGCATCGCCTTTATGTATCAGGGATGGTTCAGCTTTTGTATGAGTTGGGAAAGTAAATTCGTCTATGACCTGGAACACCAACTGTCGCGACAATGAAAGTGAAGTTTAGGGTTTTGAGTACGTCAAGGTTGTGCTGTTGAACACTTGCAGTTAAGCGTATCTAAGGTCTAACTTTGCTATAAAACTATAGATGTATGTCAGTATGTTTTATTATATAGCAACTTCCTTCTTATCCTGTTGCATCCTTTAATGCCCTCTATCTAATGCTATCTTCATCATATCGTGTATGCTGAATGCCTTTTTAGCACACTGTCAGTGCTGCCGCCGCCGTTGGTTTGGCTTCAGTGTCAACCGATGTTTTTGAGTTCGCGGATGACCGCTCAGTTGGAAGTGGTTCAGCATATCCATCGCCATCCCCACAATACACGCCATTTCCGTATAATACTGTAGGAAGTCCATTGTCGACAGCTCCTATAAGAGGAAGTAGGCAGACTTGTCCTAATTTCTTTTAGTTGATGAATTTGCCTTTTTTCTTTTAGCCACGACAAAACGTCGTCCCCGAGCTCGCAAATCTGCTAATATGGGTGATCGAGTTGGAGATATGACAACAGGGGCTTTGAAAGATCCGCTGGGTGTTGGGCTAGCTACTCGAAAGCCCCGTGGTAAGACAGGAGTCCGTCGACCACGCGGCTCGCGGAGAGGAGCGTTAGCTATGACCCATGCTGAACTGGAGATGCAGCAAAGGATCCCGCCACCGTTGCAAAGATCCTATAGCGATTACGAGCCTATGCAAAGTAGGGAGAGATTGTTTTTCCACTGTTCTTGTTTATTTTCTTGAAACTTTAAATTTTAGGTTTAGTTGGAACGCCATCCTCACCCTATGTGGATACTGAATCTGACGATGAATGCGATCCACCACCACCACCTAAGTCACTGGCAATGTTTCCATCACCAGCTGCAAGTCAAATAGCAACAGCGTCTTCTGGCGTAAATAGTCCTTCACAGGTGAGTTACT